GAAGTCATGGTCTTTGGGGCCGGTTGGAAGGGTGTGTCCAGTATACCCCCCATGTCGCTATATGGGGTCCCTTTAAAAATTGTAAAAAACATTTAAATATCTTGGACACATTTTGACACCCGACCTCAGGGACGATGCTGATATAGATAGGGAACGGAGAGCGTTGTGTGTCAGGGCGAACATGATCGCCCGCAGGTTTGCACGATGCTCAATTGATGTGAAAGTAACCTTGTTTAGAGCATTCTGCACATCATTCTATACGAGCGCCTTATGGTCGAAATATACTCGATTGTCATACAACGCTTTCCGTATCCAATATAATAATGCGTTCAGGGTGCTGTTGCGGCTGCCTCGATTCTGCAGCGCATCGGGGATGTTTGCTGAGGCGCGGGTGGATTGTTTTTACGCCACCATACGCAAGAGATGTGCATCCTTGGTGCGCAGGGTGAGAGCTAGCGGTAACGGTATCCTCCGCATTATCGCGGACCGAGTCGATTGCCCATACCTGAATCACTGTTCCTCTATTTCATGCGGAATGATTCCGGTATGAATTAATGTAAACATACTAACAATTAGATTTAAGGTATTAAGCTGTAATTTACTAACATTGTTATGGAACCTTGTTTTCTGAATTAAACAATTAAATTAAAAATTAAGCTCTGTTTTGATGTTAACTGACGTGAGGAAACGATTTCGCAGGGAAGATGTAACAATAAATCGGTCATCGCGACCGGTGGTTGCTCGAGTTCTGCCTGTACCATATCTCCTTTTGTAAGAACCTGTCTCCACAAACCTTCTGTATATTCTAGAAACCGTAGACTGGTTTAACTTTACATTTCTACCAATCGTTCGTTGATCCAAGCCCTCCCGCACCAATGCTACAATTTGAGCAGCTTATTCGGACGAAGTATCCATATTATGGTTCAGAAACTCTCGATGAGTTCAAAAGCTAACCCAACAATTCTGCTGGTAACAATAATTAAATTGTCAAAAGAATAAAAAATCAATAATGCCGGCCATACACACTACGGTCTACCGGAGAGGTAATCTGTGCAGGTATGGCTGCGCAGGTCAACCGAACAATGGTAGCGTGTATGGGGACGTTCCGGTGTATCGGAGCGGTCTTCAGTTCTCTTTGCGATGGCATCTTATGTGGACGATGACACGCTGGCGTTGCTAGGTCTTGCTTTAATTTTGAAGAAAAGTGATACGAAAAACAAGCGAAGAAAGTAGTGTAAGCTTGGGTTATTGAAAAGGAAAACATATAGTCATGTTAATTTATTAAATAAATTGAAATTTGAACCAGAAGATTTTAAAAACTATCTTCGAATGGACGAGAAAACATACCTTAAATTACTTGAAATGGTTACTCCTAATATAACAAAAGTAATAAATGTAGATACATTGCCGATTACTATATTAACAACCTGCGCAGGCGACCGGAGTACACGCACACACGCACAGGTACACTGTACGGTGTCACTTGAAAGAATCGATTTTCGATCTTTCGATCGAGGTTCAAAAACCTGCACAGGTCTATTCCCACACTCATTCCTGTGCAGGTATGCCTGCGCAGGTGGACCTCTCCGGTAGACCGTAGTGTGTATGGCCGGCATAAGAATCAATTTTAAAAAGACGCAAATCTGATACTACGAGTAAATTTTCTTTTCCCGGCTATATTCATTTGTTTATCTGCAGTTCTATTTTTAAATATTGCTTTTTTTTAAGATTAATGGCCAGTCTCTCCATATTTTACATTTTTTAAATACATTTATTATTATATTATATGTATTTTATCAATATAATTTCCTTACATTCTCTTTGACGATATTGCCAGCACGCATTCTGTCAATGTTATGTCAAGGTTACATCAAAAAAGTTTGAATTGTATGGCGGTTAAGTATTATTAAATTGTATACGCTGGCGAAGGTGTTTGAAATGTCCTTTCACTCTTTAATGTTACCTAAATGCATTTCCCACATTACTCCCTCCCAGCACGCCTTTCTTCCACATCACTTATCATCTGCTGACATGGTGTCACGGGAAAATGATAAGCAGTGTCAGGTAGATGAAGTGATTTTGTATTAGGATGACATTCTTCTCCAAAAGTTAGCCGCAATTGTGTGACGAGATCTTAAGTTTTTTTCTAGTTACCTATCAAATCGTAAGCAATATGTAAATATATCCCACAGCCATATCTAACAAGTTTTCGCTTACTTTCGAAGCTTCATATTTTTCTCTACTCTTCGCCAGAGAGCGACCTAATTGCCGGAACAAGTATACGTGAAGTCAGTTGAAAGAGTTTCACAACGGGCGGGAGTGTCTTGCGTCATTGCACAAGTTTCTCATCAGGTGCAACTTTATCATTATCGTTGTAAGGTGGAGCGATGTGCTCCATCAGTTCTCGAGCAACGAATGGTCGTGACAATATAAGTTTTAGATTTTCATTTATACCGGCCCAGTCGTTCATTGGAGAATGGACAATTTAATTATGTACTATTTACTCATTGGCATATTTATGAATAACTTCGATTATTTTTTTATTGTAAATAGCAAGGAATAAAACAAATGCTGTTATCTATTTTCATTGATTTAATAGACATGTAGGATTACATATACATATTTATTTCATAAAACTATATTATATGCATTAATTTATCCGCTAAATGTGTTCTAATAGTGATCCGTGAACAAACAACAATTACATTACAATATTATGTACCGTTATTTCGGTTGAAGTGTCTCTACGACGAACGACGGATAAATTTGCGCTTCACGTGGGATTGATTTCTATTTAGTGTTATTTTGTTAAATCTCGTGAGACATCGACGAAAATAACGTTTTATAATGAGATGATTCTCATGCATATTCGATTTTATCGATGGCGAGCGAAAAGAACAGGAATCTAGTCAGACTTCTTCGACCTCGACGTTGATACAACGGGCGATGTTCAGTTTTTCGTTCATTTGGAAGATGAGGCTAAATTAATGTTCAAAATCTTAACGGGCTCAAGAGGGCGAAAAAGAAATTCAAGATTCGCATCCTCACAGGGCGGCTCGAATAGTCGACGACCTGCTCTTTCCGATCGACTCGATCGATGGTTCCCTCCGCACCTCCTACCGCACACGTCACGGAGAGCGCTCTAAAGAGAGGTATTTCCGAACCAATACAATTTAGGGGATACGAAAAAAGGCCGGCCATACCGCGAGACCCCGACGTCGCGGGTGTCCGTGGGCGGCGATCGGCACTTTCTTCCGATTTAAAATGAAAACCGAATTCATCACTTTTGAAAAACCGTCCCCGACACAAAGTGAGATATCCTTCGCCGACATCCAACAACACCTCGCGGGAAGCGATAACTATATTCTATGGCAAGACTACTTGTGGTCCTCGGCTTCGGGGACGCTCGTACCTTCATCTTTGGCTTTTTAATCTCTTTAGTACGGCTATTGCATAAGATTCTTTTCGTTCCCGAGGTTTCTTTAAATTTTTTCATGACGGTGAGAATATCGACAGTGGATGAAATATTGTCACCTCGGGCGCGATTCTCCGATCTGCCGTCGCCGGAAGCGAAAGCCGGAACGGAGAGTCAAAGTTCACTGGATTAGGTCGATGCCATTTCTCTAAAGACTATACAATCAAAACACAACGTACTCGGCGCGTAACACGAATAAGTAAGCGTCATTATCATATATCATTATATATATCGAACAACAAGAATAATAATAAACATCTAATCGTCATCAAATCAATCAACGAAATTAATAAAAATGCATACAAATATTGTATTAATTAGGTAACTTTAGATATAAACTCTTGTCATCTTATAAAATCTCTGGTCTCTTATAAATTGCAAAACAAAAATAAAACATCTGAGTAAACGCGTAAGTAATATTAAGCTTCGTGTGATTTGGCACAAAACCTCTATTTCATTAAATTAAAAAAGATCTCACTCCAAAGCGTTCGTAACTCGTCAAACGGACTGCTCCGCGGGCGCTTTGTCTCTCAACAATAAACTGAATTTGACACAAAACAGTAATAAAAACGACTTAAAGTATAAAATTGTAAAAAGGAAGAAGGTCTCGGGCGATTACCCGTAACGATAAATAATTAATTGTAAAGTCGACGTGTATAATTAATAATATGAGTCGCTCTCGTTAAGAGTCAAAAGAAGAGACGCCCGAGCCTTAACGGTAAACCGCGAATAAAATTCTTCTACTTACACAGCTATCGTAATACTTAAAATTAAAAAATCGTAAATAAATCGACAAAAATGTAAAGATTCCAAAAAATCTAATCTCAAACTTTGCTTTTCGGTCGGAACGTGAGACGCGCGGACGACGCGTTTCTTATATATTAATATTAATATAATTATATGCGCCATTCGACACTTCGATAAAGCGATCGCCGACCGACGGCGAGGTCGAAGAGAACGGAGACTCGATCAGATCTAAAAGCTTTCGAGATACTCGAGTCAATTTCCAAAACGAGAAGTGAGAACGAACGGTGAATTCTTTCGACCGAACTGCGGCCGAAACGATTAAAATAAGCACTAACACGAGACACACATCGAACCCATAGGCCATTTCTTACAAAGTAGAGGCGGGTGCGGCCGAAACTACGATCTACGTAAAGTAGTGCGTCGGTCCCCGGCCGCGAGATTCGGCGAACGGGGACCGCGCACTCGCTACGACTCTAAAAGCTATCGCAGACGGGCTCTCCGTCGGCCGCGATTCGGACGAGTCGAGAGCCTCGGCCCGCGTCAGGGGCGACACCGAATTAAATAAATTATAAAAGAATCGGACGACGACGCTAACACTACGTAAAGCCACCCGTCTGAGCCGACTGCGCTCGCTCCTTACGACTAAACCTTTGGTATCGACTTAACTATAATAAATAATACTTCCCGGGGCCGCGAACGACTCGACGGTTTGTGATAAAACGTAATAAAAAACAATAACGGCGCTCCGAACGCACTCGGAGTACTGAAACACATTATTATGGCAAACAACGTCTCGAACGACCGAACGCGAGAAGGCGGATGTGACACTGAGTATTATGCGAGATGCGCCTCCGCTCCTCGCCCGGAGAAGCGGATTCGGACTTTCGTGACCCTCCGGGAACCGAGAGAAGAAGACGGAGGGTGCTCCGGGCGACCCGTTCGGCACCGGGGCACGCGGCCTCCCTTTCGCGTTCGGGCCGATGGCGGGTCGAGTTCTATCGCCGGTCGCGAAAGAAAAGGTCGGTCGGACGCCGAAAGAGGCTCGCCGAGACCCCGAGGCGCGTTCGGGCGTCGCGTCGCTTTAGTTCAATATTTACAACAATCAATAATTGCTCTCTTCATATTCATCTTCGAGGAAAATATACTTTTTAACAGACTAGGAGCACAATATTTTTTTTCCTTCTTTCATTATAATCGCGATCGCGGAGATCTCTCGCGGTCGCCGACTTCGCGGACCGTCTTCGTGTCGATCCGGAGAGACGACCGCGAGAGGAGACTCCGGCGGCCCCGACCGCGAAGCGCTCGACCGAGGACGGCGCCACCTTAACCTAAGCTAAGACAAAACAAACGGCGACTCCGGCTCCACGAGCCGTGACTAGAAAGGGGACTACGCGAGTCGCTCGCGGGGCGCCCTCGTCCGCGCGGCGCGTCGGCGGACGGCGGACGGCGGACGGCCCACCCGCGGGCGGAACGCGGCCGACTCTCACTGGGTCGGACGCTCGTCGCGCTGCGGGTTGAAGTCCGCGTTCACGAACGAAAATCCTTGGAACTCCTCCTGGAAGATGTCGAACGACGGTTTCAGCGGATCGTCACGTGCGAACGAGAGGACGGACGGCGGCCGAGCCGGCTCACCTGATTGATGGCCCGCAGGACGTCGTGCGGCACGGGCGTCAGCGCCGGCTCCTCCTTGGTGAACTCGGCGTCGAAGTTGGCGGCGTCGCGGCGGCCGCGCGTCTTGGGGCGGAAGGGCGGGCGCAGACGCCGGGCGGCCAGGGCGTCCCAGTCGACGTCTCGGAAAAAGGCGTGCGCCAGGATGCCCGACGAGCCGCCGGCCACGCCCAGCCGCCGCGCCGGGTTCTTCGTCATGAAGCCCTTGAGCAGCGACACGGCGTCCTTGGACAGCCACACGGGGTACAGCACGTCGTCGTGCAGGATGCTCTCGAACAGGTCGTCCTCGTTGTCCGCCTCGAAGGGCGGCTGCCCCGCCAGCATCTCGTACACGAGCACGCCCAGCGCCCACCAGTCCACCGACGGGCCGTACTCCAGCTCCTGCAGGATCTGGGGACCGAGCGCTCGGTGAGGACGCGAACGTGGCGAACCGCGTGCGCTCGTGGCGCTACCCGACGTCACTCACCTCGGGCGCGATGTAGTCGGGCGTCCCGCAGAACGTGGTCGTGGTGACTCCGTCTGCAATGAGAAGAGAGCCGTAGCATAAGGCGCGTCGGAGATGAGGAACGGCGAAGGGAAGGGCGCGTACCAATGATACCCTCCTTGCACATGCCGAAGTCGGCGAGCTTGCAGTGGCCGTCGCTGTCGAGTAAAATGTTGTCGAGCTTGAGATCTCGGTAGATAACCCCGTGCGAGTGAAGGAACTGCAGGGCCAGCGTCACCTCCGCCGCGTAGAACCTGGCCCGGGGCTCGTCGAACTTCCGAGCCCGCTGTATCTGGAACATGAGATCCCCTCCGTCCACGTACTCCATGACGAAGAACAGCCTCTCGGGCGTCTGGAAGGCGCAGTACAGCGCCGTGAGGAAGGGGTGGCGGGCGGCCAAGGCCAACACGCGCCGCTCCGTCAGTGTGCACTCCACGTCGTCGTCCTGAATTATCACGTCCTTCTTCAGGACCTTCACCGCGTACACCTGTGGATCGTTCGGACGTTATTCGTTCGCTCTCGACGCTCGAGGGACGTCGTCGTGTTTAGGTTTACCTCGTCGGTGCCCTTCTTCTCGGCCAGCATGACCTTCCCGAAGGAGCCCTTGCCCAGCACCTTGATGAAGTGGAAGTCGTCCAGGGACACTTTCCCGCCCTCGCACTCCGCCCCGCCCGACCCGCCTGCGACGCGCCAAACGGCCATTACATATACTAATATCGTTTGGAAGTACACGGGACCATAAAAAACAATGAAAATATCAAAAAACCTTCATTGAACCCGAAAATATCTTCCAGCTCGTCCCACGGGGACCGCCGCGTCCGCTGCACGGGGACACCTGCGCAGGAAAGACGGTCGCAACAAAACAAAAACAACAAGTTTTAGCAACACCTATTGAAATAAATGGTTAAGGCTATTTAGAAGAATAGGTATCGCTAAGAGGTATCAAGAGATAAATGATTAAAAAGGCCAAAAATGAGCAACGTCCCGCCACCGAAGCGCCCGCAGCCCTACGTAAGAAAGGTGAAAAACCTTCGAAGTTGGTGAAAATGTCTCTGAGCTCCATCCACTGCGAGCCCCACAGCGCCACGCCCTCCTCCTCAGCTAAAGGCCACACATTCACACGGTCAAGCATCACGAGGCCGAGGGTGCAATGTCCAACAGACGTTATACAATTATTTAATCATCTTTTTTAATATTAGGTGCACGAAAACGTAAAGAACGAATGAGTGATTAATGAGTGATTAATGAATGATTAATGAACAAATCAATGAACGAACCGTCTTAAGATACATGACCCACAAAATGAGTCGTACCTTTCTCGTCCCGTCTGTCGTCTTTGCCGTCTTCGGGAATGAAATCGGGTGCGCCTTCCAACATGGGCGTGTTCAAGTACTGAAAGTGACATTCATTCATGATGATCAATTAACGATTTTTTTACATGTTTTTAGTTTACAAGGAACCGCAACCGTAACTAGAATACCTTGGAGGCTCTGGGACGAGGGTTCTTGTCCGGGGTGATGCCCATCTCGCTGAGGATGGCGGCCATGGCCTTGGTGTTGATGCCGCAGTTGTTCGCCACGTTCTTCTGACAGCGCTTGTGCACGTTGATGGAGCACACTGAAACAGTCGCGTCACCCGTGACCACGTCGTCGCATCCGAACATACGGAAGAAGAGCGAGAGCGTACCTTCGCACTGCAGGCCCTGCTTGATGAGCCCGTAGAGCAGAGAGCCGCAATGGTCGCAGAAAGTGAACCTCTTGTACGAGTGCACCACGAAGCGGTGAGGCACGTTGACGCTGAAGCGCTGTCCGCCCGACACGCTCTGCTGCAAAGCGTACGCATTTCTCTTTACAAACGGACTATTGATGGTGCCTTCTAGATTATTGGAATATATCTATGGATATATGCTCGGCTAGAGCTGCAATTCAAACGTCTCAGCCGATTAAAATACTACGCATAAATGTTGTACGAAAATGTGCTATTTGACAGAATAAAATTAAAGAGTTTTTGAGAGTCATCACTATTAAACTTGGCATTAAAAAACCGTTAACCATTTATCAAAAAGTTCAGTCACAGATTAGTCGAATCGACGTTGGCGTACCATACCTGTAATTGCTTGTAAATAATATGCCTTTGCCTGATTATTTGTGTCCACTTTTGAAAAAAAGAGGATGATTTCATTAAGAAAATCATTGTTTAATCTAAAATAGGAAATGTATTGTTTTTATTGTACATATATGTATTTTTATACCATAATTGTCATATATTTTAGAATAGATAGCTTGTAACATATACTGTAGATATAGCATTATATATGTATATATGTATATTAATAAAAAACAAGTTTGATAATTAAGGCGTAAGTACGGCATTAGGACTGGTGCGACACCATCTCGACTGGCGGTTTGGCGGGTTCTTGAATCAATGAATGTTGAATTTGATTTTTTAATACTTCACAGAATTTAAAATAATAATTTATAAAGTTTCTAGTCACTAATAAATATATTCTGAAATAGTTTTAAAATCTAGTCAAATAGCCCACGTATCACTATACTCTAATCAATGACTCGTGAGGTTGCCTAAAATGTATTGAATAAAAATTTATGAAAACATCCCAATTTTAAATTTTAAATTACAAATCCGTCATCTTTTATTTTCGATACCAAATTCGATTAATTCCTATAATATACAACTCACGTCTTCTCGCATGCCGGGGCACTTCGTGACGATGGACGAGTGACACCGCTTGTGCACCACGCACGTGCATACTGGAACACAAACGATTCCATCGCATAAAAAGAGAAAAGGAAAATAAATGCGTTTACTAATTTATCGATATAAGATTATGTTATACAGACCTTGACACTGGTAGCCTTGTTTGCCGAGGCCCCTAGAAATAACAAATGTTTAATTTTTGATGTTCAGAAAGAATGAGACGACTCGACGAGTAGTGAGTGAAATTCACCAGATGAACTCTCGGCAGTGCGAGCAGAACGTGGGCTGGCGAAGGAAGGTGGCCATAAACTTGTGTCCGTTGACCTGATGAACCCTGCGACGCAAGGCTCCTCGACGCCGAGCGAAGCCTGCGCCCTCTTTGAACTCGCGCCGAGGCCCGCTCGACGCCGCCGCACCCGCTGCTGTCATGACAAAATAGAGAGAGAACGTGAGACATGCTATTAGTATAACTTCAAAAAACAAAACAGAAAATTTCAATAGATACCAACCTTGAGAATTCCACTTAAGATCAATTTTGAGATGAATTTTCCCCTGTGGCTCAAGATCCACCTTTAGAAAACAAGAAATTTTGGATGGTTAAACATGGTAACAAAAAGGTAAAACTTAAGGGCTATTGCACATATTTTGGAGGCAGCAAAAGTTAACTGTTTTTCCTGCATGCATTTCCTGCAATGTATAACAGCCTTAGGTTTTGTATTCAATAGAAGATGAGCGCGTTCAGATGACTGAATAAAGTTATTTTATACAGTCATATTTTACTTGATGATTTAAATATTGAAAAATGATCATATAAAGCAGACACGGCCCTTTAGGCTGCTTAAGGGTAATGGGACAACATATACGGTAAACTAGCAAAAATCTATCATAAACAAGATATTCTTAAAATATGAATGTCAGATTTGTGTACATAGCAGCCATTTAATATTTATAGTTAAAAGAAAATTAGCTAGACATGTAAATCGTATTTTCTTTCAATTTGTTAATACAGTAACAAACTAAGGTGATTTTATGTCACATGAATTTAGATTAAAGCCAATCCTGACTATAATGAATGAAAAATTATTTTTGGAATTAAGGAAACACTATGTTTATTCAAAGCTGACTCACGGGATAAAAACAGGATGCAGCCGTGATCTGTGTCACATTACTGTCATACCTCGTTCATCGACACTTATATTATAAAGAGGAAAGTTTATTTGTAATGAATAAACTTAAATATTGCTGAACCAATTTTAAAAATGAAACTTAGTTTTTTATTATTATACAAATTTCAAATGTGCTTTAGAAGTCAAAATTGGATATATAAGATAAAAAGTTTTCAATGCTAGCTAATATTCATATAAAACACCAAAAAGCACATAGGCTATATTGTCACAGCTAAATACATAGATGTAGATACTTTTAAGAATGTAAATAATACTGCAAGTGCAGATATAAGCATTTATTGGCAACATAGCATTAGGTTATCCTAAGTGACACATTCATTTGTATTACCTACTTCACAAAATATTATAAAAACAATAAAAGAATATCTATATACAACAGATACAATATTACATTTTTGTGCATTTTAAAATAATATTCACATAATGTACACAAACATTTAAGATAACATTTTAATTAAGACTTCAAATAATAATACAACAATCTTGCTGATGTAGGTATGGTTTAAGATCTGTGATGTGCGTCTTTTCATCATAGTTGTACGGTTTCTGCGTCAAAAGCATAATTTAAATAATAGAGGATACCATTCTCACTATATATCAATTACTCACATACAAATGAATAAATGAATTCTAAATAATTAAACACTCAACACTATTAATACTAAATTAATGCTGTGTAATGGTATGCTTTAGAAAATGCCTGCATCTGGCTATACTCTGAGGGAGTAACTCTACTATTAAGGTAAGCACCATACTTATTCAACTAAGAAAACCTGAGTGAGAAAAATGTACAGCCTTACCTTGTACAATAGTATAAACGGGACAAATACAAAAAAGTTATTTAGTTAAAATGGTGTTACACAGTTACTTATGATTCTATAAGCAATATCTATTTTTCAAAAAAGATATTGCTTGGCAAAAAAGTTAGGCAACACCTACTAGCAATTTCAGAGTCAAGACTTAGCACTAAGTATGACTATATAATAGAATGAACTAAGCTTTAATGTTATTAATAATAAATATATTATTACAGCAAGTAATTTAAAAAGTTAGTTAATTATAAATATCTGACTTACCCAAAAGTCTGTAGCATCTTTTTCTCTGTGCATAAGATCTTCAAAGGGAATTGTGCAATTAGCAACAAAGTCATCTGGGGGTATTGCAGCATCATGAAATACTGTGATGCATAGACTACAAATAAAATAAAAAATCATTAAAGGGGAAATGTAATAAACAGAAGTTTAATTATTATTATAATGTAAAAAAACAATACTCTCAACCATAATTAGAATTTAATTTATACCTTATAAAACCCTAATGAAACAAGCGTTCAAGAGACAATGTGTTTATTAGTAAATAGTAAAATACATACTTAGTGGCACTTTGAACTTCATGTGAAAATGTTTCGTTCCAAACAGGGTCAAATGTTTTGGGTTTCGTAGTGGAGCGGTCTAAATGATGTTCATCTGCATCTATAGACACATAGGGATCTATCGGCTGATCGTCTGCAAATTTATCATATATATACAAATAGCACCAACACCCAGGCCATGACCCCCCATGCAAAATTAAGGATAAATGTTTAACATGATAGAGGTATGATAATTATGAGAATAGAATTAAATATAACAAAAATGATGAATTGGTGTTTATAGTGCATGGTGAACTCACCAGGCTTCCCGAAGGTCATGTTGTGCCTTTTCTGAAAATCCGTCGGTCTAAGGCCAGTAGCCTCACACACCTTAACGCGCACCGTTCCACTGAACATGGTGGCGGAGACCAACGAGCCCGATCACCGAGACCGCACCGCCACACTTCACATCCACAATAGAAATCCAAAACGAATCATTGAAGGTTTTTCATAATTTCTGCAGAAAAAGAAACTTGACAGTATAGGTATAAAGATCCGCCATGGATGTATATCATAGACTATAGATTGATTTTTTTTAGCATCTAAGATTATATAAATTCACAACAGATTAAAGAAAGAAATTTATGACAAACTACTGAATAACATAAGATACACTGATGACTCGATCTTTATGGCAGAGAGCTTCGATTGTCTACAGCCGAACACCGGAGCTGTTCACGCAACTTATACACCTTTACAATGAAAAGCGTATCAAAACTATAAAAGAACCTACTTTGTGACAGGTGCAAAACTTAAAGGGCGCTATGCGCGAAATTACGTTTTCTCTGTGCTGCTCTACGGCGTAGAATCTTGGACGCTGGAAGCTGGAAGCGTTTGAGATCGCTTTATAAACTAATGCTTAAAATATCTTGGACAGACTGCATACTAAATACAACCGTGCTGGACAGAATGCAGAAGAACAAAGAAGGCTAAGGAGGAAACTTAAATATTTCGGACACGTCAAACGTAACAACAAAAAGTACCAGTTCCTTCAACTAATCATGCAAGGCAAACTGGTAGGTATGAGAAGATCGGGCCGCAAACGCACATCTTGGTTGATGAATATTAGACAGTGAACCAATCTTATAATATTTCCTATGCGCGAACCTGTTACCGCTATAGTCTTATTATAGGCACCAGCTCCTCACAAAGTTGGTCAATACTACATGTAAACCTGTAAAATGCAATATTGCGAGGAAGCAAATCAACTTTATTATTATTATGTAATTGTAGTTTCCAAATTAAAATGCTCGTCAGAAGGACAAAACTTACCCGAAGTTCAACATCCTACAAAGTTCCTATTAAACTAGTAATTCCTTCTAAAGTATATTTTTAACTAAATCTGTAGGCAAGCTATTATTTTCGTATGACAAATTCAAATCACATGTTAAACTAAATTTTTTTTTACTCTCGCTAATAAATCTTTGATTTGTAAACATGGTCGGTCAAACATGACAAACCCCGCCGAGTTTCTTAACTTGTTCTTTTCAGAGCGTTCTTAAGCATAGTTTTAAGTGTCGCTTAAGCTTTTTTTTTAAATATTATGGCAATAATTTTAACTTTATGCCAGTTTCATGTTAAAGGTTGGGAAACTACACGCGAGAAAGACATCAAAAGGAAATAAAGGGATAAGCTGGTTAAAAACAAAATATGTACACATATTACATCTTAATATTATTATTGATTATGAAAGAAGATAATAATACAATAAAGGATAAAGCAAAAGACAGGAGATTTAAGTCGGAAACGGAACATGAAGTAATTGTAGATAAGGAATTCAGAAAGGAGGTGCGGTCATATTGGGAACAACAAAAGAAAATATGGTCGAGGTCACCAATATCTTCTCCACACTCGCAAATATTATCAACAATACGAAGAAATATTATCAATTTTCATGCCGACAATATTAATGGCATCAGAAAAAATATTGAATTTCTGACAAGTAATTCTACGCCACCATGGCCATGAAATCTGTCATCACGCAAGCAGGTATATCCAGGGATCCTAAATAGGTACCCTGGCTGCAACCACGTCTCAGATAACGCGACAACAACAGGAGAATGTTTTCTTATCAAATATATTTAATCATGTTTCTTTGGAACAACACTCTTGCAATTCCATTGAATTATCTTGCCATCCATTATTTTTAACAACATTAATTGATTTTACTTTTTCATTAATAGAGGCAATGTGGGACGGTTTCAGTAAGTTTGAGTTTATTAAAGTAGTTAATAATGCTAGTATCATTTCTAAGACATCAGATTTTTCTTCCTCTTTATTTTTGTGACCAACCAGAGCACTGCGTATTTAAGACTCTGGAACTTGGAAGTCATTAAATACATTATTATGAGCAACACGATCATAAACATGTCGACGTTTAGGAGGACAGCGAGGTTTTAAAAATACTGAAGCAAGAGTAGCAAATGCTACGGGCCCCGCGGATTTAGGGGCCCCGCGCTCCAACGCCTGTCTGACCGTAATAAAAAAAAGTATTAATTTAGATAGCAACCTCTGCAATAGCAATTTTATAAACTTTTATTAAATGATTCTTTTGAATCGTGTTTCCCAAACTTAGATATTGCCTTGCGCAATTTACTTGTCTCTCACGATCACTAATTGCAGTAACGAACGTTCTTTTTCAATATTAAATGGTATTAAAAATGAATTAAGCAACACGATGGGCCACTTTGTTCAATATAGAGCATGATTTTCTTAAAGAAGTTGATATCCATAGTATTATCTCTAAATTTGCCCATATTAAATCCAGAAAAGTTTATTTGAAACAGTTTTGTTTTATTATATACCCTTAACTTGAAAACCTAAAGCAAACCAAGGGTCCCTAGGCAGAATTTGCTACAGGCCCCGCACTGGCTTAATCCGGCACTGGATTTATCTATCGCTGAATGGGACGCTTCGACTTCACACATTACACAGTACAGAGGATCTTCATCTGACCTGTCACATGATACACTTGCATGTTGACCTCCACAGTTATAACATATTGGAGACTTGATCAATTCGACTTAGGGTCCTTCAAGAAAAGAGCGTACCAATTTTTAAAAGGCCGGCAACGCACTCGCGAGCCCTCTGGCATTGAGAGTGTCCATGGGCGGCGGTATCACTTAACATCAGGTGAGCCTCCTGCCCGTTTGCCCCCCGTTCTATAAAAAAAAAAAAAAAACATCAACGCTATTGAACTTTGGTATGACCATAACGGCAGCATTTATAGCATTGTATCATAGGATAAATATATACATATCTCTACTGGAAGAGCATTATAGCACATGAAAATCCTTTTTGGTAAAACTTGCCCATCAAATGTTATTACAACTGATTCAGAGGGCTTCCAAGAAACCGAGTCATTAATTTTCAGCTTGCGATTCAAACGTCTTATTTTAAGTATTTTGCCGCAGCCTATAGGTACTGATACATTTTGTTGAACTACACTACCATCTACAGGGACCCCGCGAACTAGACCCATTCTTGCAATTAAGAAAATTATTGGCGTCTTTATAATCGGAAAAGCCAACTACGCACCTGTTTCTTCCTATACGCTTTACACTTCCGGGAAAAATATTATTAAATTAGTTCTGCTTTAAAAAATTGCCAAATGTTATAGGATGGAGAATGGTCTCATCGTCAGGTGGACTTTGTATACGTTGAACGTGTATTAAATAAGGGGAAACATCAGTATCAACATATTCAGTACGGCCCATCGAACGGGAGTCCATATCGGTTACTGTAGCTTTGGTCATTGGTGTTGTTTGAATTTCACGCGTTAAACATTCGACGGGATAAGATTGTCTATTGTACTGTTTTATAATATAGAAACTGGAATAAAGTATAAACAATAGATTCTGCTGCTTAAGATAGGTCAGGAAATTATAAAAATAAAATACGTATTATTCAAGTGAAAGCCATCGGCGGTATAGTCGAAATGGATTAAAATTTTATTGGATTTAAGCGAAAATAAATTTTACTGTACATAATACATAATATAATAATATATTATATCACAAACGTCGAAACAGTTTTGTTCTTAGTACTCTTTGGTCCTGACTCCTGTCACCTGTGGTTAAAGTGGTTTTGACTTTTGACTAATGATTAATCATTAAACCAAGATTCCACAATTTTGAGGAGGTAAAGAAGTTTAAAAAAGTTTAAAAGCTTTGATCTTTTATGTGTAAAGTGTTATGCCCGATTGTTTTTGTTGATATTGATATTTTTAGGCTAAAACATTAGAAAATGGGTTTTTTAACTATACTAAAAAAACTAAGACAGAAAGAAAAAGAAATGAGAATACTGATGCTGTATCCTTTTTAAATGCACATTTCTTAGTTTTGGTTGTATTTCAGATTTTATCGAGAACCCTTTACCTTAACTTTTAAACTGAAACTATTTATTCTTATTATTTATTTTCCCAAAATTTTCTAATACTAAATATACTTCAGAGGCTTAGACAATGCAGGCAAAACTACCATACTTAAACGATTTAATGGTGAACCCATTGATACAATATCACCCACTTTAGGCTTTAATATCAAGACTTTAGAACATAAGGGATATAAATTGAATATTTGGGATGTCGGTGGACAGAAATCTTTAAGGTAGGTGGAATTAATGCGTTGATAGCATGAAAGCATACAACAGTATCTTTGCATTTTTGAAATTCACACATATGTAACAATTCTTTTTATACAGATCATACTGGAAGAATTATTTTGAGAGCACAGATGGTGTAGCATGGGTAGTTGACAGTGCAGATCCCCGACGACTTGCAGACTGTGTGAGAGAGTTACATTCACTTCTTAGGGAGGAAAGGCTTTCAGGAGCTACACTTCTTGTACTTGCCAATAAATCAGACCTGCCTGGAGCACTTTCCTTGCAAGAAATCAGGGAGGCAAGTGTTGACCTATACAATTACCAATCATCACACAAATCAATATTCCAGACTATTTTCATTTACCTTCTTGTAAGTTTTTTTTAACAAAATAGGATAAACACTTGAGCCTCAGTCAAAAAATGTAACACCAAGGCATTATTTTATAAAAGAATTCACAATGTTTCAAATGCACTTGAGAATGTGTGTAACAAAACCACCTTGTTATAATTAGTAAATATGTTGACACAAATGAAAACCCTGAGCTGTATGGGACAGACTTGATTGCTCCCTAAGATATCTCAAAACTTAGTGCTTACATGATAATCACAATCAAATACAAATAATATAATGGCAGAGGAAATAATTAATTTAATAAAATTCCTATTTAAGAGCACACAATTAGAACTAATATTATATGTATATGGTGTTTAAATATTTTCAGGTATTAGATTTGGACAGCATTAAAACTCACCATTGGCGCATAGTGAGGTGTTCTGCCGTGACTGGAGAAAACCTTCTTGAGGGCATGGATTGGATGCTGGATGATATTGCTTCTAGGATATTTACACTTGATTAGTGGCTTGAAACTTTAAAGCAACATTATTACTATGCTTCTAGCCATGTTATAAAAAAATATTTTAAAAAGTAATGACATTTTTTTATCTTTTATCGCAATAGTCTGCACACTATGTTTGAAAAAACTCAAAACAATAATAAAACTAACTGACTAATATTATATTTTTATTGATCCAATATGACTTAAAATAATATTTCAAGATAAATCTTATAATAATATTACTTTAATTTAGGACACACATGTTTTGGCCAAGTAGTGGATCTTGAATGTGTTGTCAGAAAACTATTTGGCTTTAACCTAAAATCGAGCATTAAAACTCACCATGTTTATTTTAGCTTGGACATAAAGATAAATAAACTTAAAAAAGCAAGTTTATAAAATTATAGAAAATGCATTTTCTTTGAAATTGTATCATAATGACAGTTACATAAAATGAAATACATGAAATTGCACATCTACACCTTCAGGTTTCTTTTTTTTAAAGATAGGGTATATCTTGGTTGGTTTAACAATGCTACAAATGATGTCATACTTTTAATTTAAATAAATTTCTAAATGTTACAATTGAAATAGATCATATATGTTGATGCCAAATGCAAAATATCTTTAACCAGATCCACCATTCAGCCTTTTGCCTTCATCTAGGAATGGTCTAAATTATATTCATTGGATTTATCATTATATGTTTCAGTTGCATTGGTATTGATGTCTTCATGAGTATTATCTACTGTTGTAACTTCTAATTCAACATCTTTAACATTATCTTGATGTTCTATTATAGCTTCATTCAGTTCTGTATCTTCGTGCATTTTATTTTTTATTGTATCTAGAATTAATAAATAATTTTTATTATTTTAGTAGTTATAATAAATCACGATAGTGAATAAGATGGATGTTGTTAAATTTTATTTATAGAAAAGATAAATACATATGAAATAAATAAAAAGTATGGTGCACATAGCAAGAGAAAAAAATTATAATGTATCAAGATAAGCAGTTCATATGAAAATTTTATGTACCTGTTTTCTGGTCCAATTCTTTTTCCTCTGGATGTTCCTCTCCATCACTGTCTTCTTTCTCATCAGCATCCATAGCAAATTTATCTCTCTTCTTATTACCATTTTCAGCCTGCAAAATAAGAAATGGGGTAAAGATAATATAAATATGGCACCAGGCATCGTTTCTGATTTTGAATCTACCTCTTCAGGATTGATGTTAGATGCATGATCGTTGGCCTCAGGATTGTTTTCCTTGGCTCTTGGTGCCTTTTGTCGCAAGCACCTCTGTTCTATTCTCTGCAATTCTTCTTCCAGCTCTTGACGCTTTTTGGACATGCATTCTAAGAATATTTATATTAAATATTTAAATTTAACATTTACTTCAAAGTACTTATATATATATTATATATATATATTGATACTTTGCTAAATAAGAAAAAATGTTCTCATTAAGTGTATTTAGCCTACCATGTTAATCTATAATTATAATATATTAAGTTTTCTCTGTCCTCAGTTCTACTATACATTTACATCTAGCAAACCAATATATTCTTAATAGTCTTTTTAGTACTGTATTTAGGCACAACATAATATATTGATCATAGAATTACTTACTGAGATATATAGATTCATATTTTACTGTTTACAAGGATTCTACAAGTAGTTTACATTTATATACAATTTATATTGTGAATACTCTTATAAGTAATAATGTAAATTGTTTTTCTTTAATAATGGTAAATCATTATAATAAACTAAACATAAAACTCACTTTCATGATACCGCTGGCTTGATTTTAACTTTTCTTGAGCCTTCTCAGACATTTTATTTAGATTAGGCAGCCAGTAGACATGAGGCTTAGCTTTAGTCAATATAAAGTTTCCAAGATTATGCTGTGATTGTTCCCATTTTTCAAACTCTTGAACACGTGCCACTTTGGCCTCTAAAGCTTTAATGGTGGCTTTCTTCAGTTCACGCTCAGCAAACAATACCCTACGCTCCTTCAACTCCCTTTCCTTTTCTAATCGAGCTTGTTCCTCAATTTTTCTTTCAACTTGAGCTTTTTTGTCCTCCTAATAAAACAAAAGAAAGATGTTTTGTCATACCATGATGTCAAAAAAGCAATTGTCTGCGAAGTCTGAAACAAAGTTTAATTTATCTAACATACTTTAGTCTGCAAGACTATTTCTTCTTGTTTAAACTTCTGAAGGGTTCCAAGTAAGGAACCAAATATCCTTCTATTCCTAGTCCTAGCTTGCTCATCATCACCTTGAGCTCTGAGCACAGCCGCTCTTGTTGGTAGTTCGCGGGATACGGCTGAAGAAACTCTAGACCTTTTAGGACCAGATGCCTCATCTTCTCCATCACTATCTGCAGTTTTTGCTGATATCCTATAAATTTACGTTAGTTTATATGATGTCGCATATTCTTTTAAAGGTAACTTATTAGTACGTACCTGCTAAAAACTGTTTTTGTTTCGTGTTTACGTTTAAAGACATCATCATTTTTGGTCACATCTGTATTATGATAATTCCGGTTTGGCTGTCTTTGTCCTCTAGAGTTGTCACTAGAAGCATTATACCTACAAAAAGCAATATAATAATCAAAGCACGTAATTAGTGTTTTAAAAAAGGTAGTTAAACAAAAAACTAACCTATTATTGGAAAATCGACCCGTAGTTTGCACAATTTTTTTTATATTTTCATCAATTTTATACAAACTACTTCTTTCATTTTCTAATTGTGTACGTAAAGAGTTAAACGATAAAGCCACTTCTGTTCCCATGTTCTTAAATGTAATATTTTAGTTTCATTCGCTTTTAACAAGGTGTTGGTGGTTGTTAATGTTGACAACTTTACTTTGTTGATATTACTAGTGTTGCCATTTGTCTTTATTATTTAGAGGAGGGTAGATTCTATTGCCTATATTTTAGTATACCTGCGTGATGCATCACATGACTGTTTGAGCCAAGTATCTAGGTGTCCACTCTTACTTTTTACGCGTGTCTATATTTATTCTTACTCTAAGGTTGTCATTTGTTGCATAGTTTTCGCCTGGCCTCGAGGCCTACTATGAGCTTTCTTAAATAAATTAAGTTGAGATGATGATTAAATAGCTTCCTTAATTCAATAGCATGTTTTCGTACCATGGCCTCCTATAAACTGAAACGTATTGGAATCACAAGACCGAACAAAGGAGCTATCAATCATGGACTTTTTCAATATTTCAGTTTTATAATCATTATAGTTTTACAAATTGTTTAACTTATAATATATGGCATAAGTAACTTTCATATAAAAACAAATTCCTTTTTTTTTGAACTTGTTACATTAACTAATTCATATAATATAGATAATTATATTTTCTACATCCTCTTTGACGATATTAGCAGTAGGTACGCATTCTGTCAATGTTAGGTATGTCAAATGCCATAAGGTTACATCAAACAATTTAGAACTGTATGGTGGTTAAGTTCCTTAATTTTTTTCTTTCATAAGAACCTTCTCCTGACAAAAACAAACACAACAAAAAAAGAATTAGCGCAATCGGTCAACCGTTCACGCGTGATGCCGTGACCAAGGGATACAGGGATTCATTTTTATATTATTGATATATACCTATATGTGTCACCGTAAAATTGTAAATACCGTTAGATTGTAATCTATCTCGCGAGATTGTGAATTGTCGAAAGATTGTGAACCTCAACGTACTGTTTAAAATTTAACGTATTATTATTCGGTAGATTGTAATCTATCGAAGTGAAACCGTCAAATTACAATCTTAAAATTGTCAACTGTCCGAAGGCTGTCCCTGATTGGTCGGCTTTATTCCGTTCCGTTCTATGTCCATAGAGTTGGGAATGAAACACGTGTATCAGTCAAATAAAATGAATGCACTTCAAGAATTGTGATCTCAAGCATTTATTCATTACTTAGTAGGTAATCAATAATTCTGACATAAATAAATCTGTGGCGCTACAACCACTTTAGGTCTTGGCCTCAGATTTCTTAACAATTTCATATAACTAATTCTAAAGCTGTGAGTTACTTTCAACACGACATCAATTTACATTCACCAAAACACTGTTTGTTTACATTCGACAACAAAAAAATTAACAAACAAGTATGGTGGCATTCCGTGGTGGTATTCCGTTCAACCAATCAGCGCGCGAGGTGCATTCCGTTTCACAATTTGATGGTTTTACTTCGATAGATTACAATCTACCGAAATACGTTAAATTGTAAGCAATACGTTGAGTTTCTCAATCTTTCGACAGTTCACAATCTCGCGAGATAGATTAGAATCTATCGGTATTTACAATTTTACGGTGACATATATAAGATGAAGAACCAGGTTGCGTCTATGGTTGCGTCTAATTCCTAAAGAAGGTTTAGGTGTGTAATTCATTATGCTAGATATATTTGAATACAAGTAGACAACGGTTGTATGATCTTTACGCTGAAAAGTCATAGAATCATAATGAAGAATTTATTCTTTATGTTCGAAATTATTCGAAATTATTTAAGAAAGTTTGTTACGCGGCCAAGTCCTTAAATATCAAAAACAAGATTAAAAAGAGTACCAATAAAACTAAAATGACTTGGAAGATAATTGATAGTGAAACTGGAAGAGTCAGGGATCGCAATCAAGACATCGAACTATGTGTCGATAACACTATAATCAAATCTAACGAAGAGATAGCGATTGTTTTTGATAAGTACTTTTCTGACATTCCAATTTCGACTACTAAATCTCTTCAATCATCTCCCGCCCTCGCTGAATCGCTGCTCAAAGATAATGTAAACGAGTGCAAGGTCAGTTTTACATTCCGACCCATTGGTGCCGACGATATAGTGAGGATATTTAGAACCATAGATATTAAGAACACTACCGATCTTTGGGGTATTTCTGTAAAAATAATTAGTAGCATAATTGATGTAATTGCTCCCCATCTAGCTATAATTTTCAACAATTGTATTAAAAGTGGCGAGTTTCCCGATCTAATGAAAAATAGTAAAGTTATTCCATTATTTAAAGCAGGTAGTATGTCCGACCCCAGTAACTTTAGACCAATTTCCGTACTACCTACTTATAGTAAAATATTTGAAAAAATTATATTAAATCAACTGGTAAGTCATTTTAACGTAAACAAATTATTACTTAATAATCAGTTCGGTTTTACCAAGGGTCGCTCAACAGCCGATGCCGGTGTTGAGTTATATAGATATATAGTTAAGGCTTGGGAGGAGTCGCATGACGCTTTAGGTGTTTCTGCGACTTATCCAAAGCATTTGATTGTGTCCAACACGAGACTTTAATCGGGTAACTCCGCCACTATGGCATCACGACTACCGCATTGAATCATCTGACTTCCTATTTACACGGAAGAACTCAGAAGGTTGAAGTGAATGGTAAGAGGTCCTCTGGGTCGGCAGTAGATATGGGGGTACCACAGGGCTCAATTCTTGGCCCTTTCCTCTTTCTTGTTTATATAAATGATCTACCTTTCATGTTAGAGAGAAAACATCAGATAGTTTTGTTTGCTGATGACACGTCCTTGATTTTTGAAATCAAACGACGAATAACAAATTTTGACGATGTGAACAATGCTCTGTCTTCGATTGTCCATTGGTTTAGTATGAATAACCTTCTACTTAATGCAAAAAAGACAAAATGCATTAAATTTTGTGCAAAAAATGCAAGAGTTATGGATACTAGACCAATTATAAACGGTGAGGAATTGAATCTGGATGATACAACTGTATTTCTCGGAATCACCATGGATTCAAAACTTCAGTGGTCCCCTCATATTAACGGATTGGCGAAGAGACTTAGTTCTGCAGCCTACGCGGTTAAAAAAATTCGCTCACTAACTGATGTCTATACAGCTAGACTTGTTTATTTTAGTTACTTTCATAGCTTAATCACTTATGGCTTATTATTATGGGGTCATGCTGCTGATGTCGAAACTATTTTCATCCTGCAGAAGAGGGCTATTCGTGCAATCTATAATTTAAAATGTAGGGAATCTCTTAGAGATAAATTCAAGGAAATTAATATACTTACCTTTCCCTCGCAATATATTTATGAAAATATTATGTATGTATACAAAAATAGTGATAAGTTTACTAGAATAGAACATACGCACAATGTTAATACACGGAACAAACGTAGGCTGCAATTTCCCCGTACTAGACTATCTAAAGTTAGTAATTCTTTTTTGGGGAAAGGGATACTCTTCTTTAATAAAATCCCAGAGGCTCTTTTATCACTGCCTTTCAATAAATTTAAGAAATGTATTAAAGAAAAGCTGTGTAAAAAGGCTTACTATAAAGTCAACGATTATCTAGTTGATAAAAGGGCCTGGGACTAGTGCTAGACAGGCTACTTCTAATCAATTTGCGATATTTGTTTTAAATAAGTGTTGTTTGATGATTTGCTGTTTTAAAAGAGTACCGAGAGTTTTTTACGCCGGCTTTTTCTCTCGGCCTACACCCTCTGTCTTCTTTGCCGATGAGTAGGGATGCCTTCAAATTTAATGACGTGGAATAAGTGATACATGTATCTTATGTTCCATAATAAACATATTTTATTTTATTTTTAATAAACATATTTTATACACTGAATTGTCGTCGAAAAAGTCGCAAGGGACTTTGGTCAAATGCACGAAATCAACGCGGGCGAAGGCTGGTTTAAAATTATAACATCATATTGTTGGGAATAATGTTTTATTGTTTTTGTTATACTGTCTAAACACTTATAAATTAATTGAATATTATTAAACATAGATTGTCCAATTGTGTGTAGGTACACTGAAATTTTCAACGAATCGGTAGAAGGGTCGTCTTGATTTTTTAATAATTTCCTAATAACTCACTGTTTTAGAATCGCTTATTCTGTCTTAGTTTGAACAGTAATCGGGCAAATTAAGGTTCAGTCGCGAGGTCATACTACGAATTTTCATACAAATTGAATGAACGAAATCTGATTACCTCTGAGGTGGCGTGGAAACCTATATCGACTGGTATATTCGACGTAGTGATATGAATAAGTGGTGTAGTTCAGTTGTAGGATGTCCATAGGGTATGAAAAGTTCTTAAAACATGTGTGACGTAGGTAGATGATTATTTGCATGCCTTCTTTTACAGTTTTGTCCAAAAATACATAATCTATATGTATTTTCTGCTGATAATAGGACCAGACCAATCACTTTATATAATGCCCTTTCCGATTGCTTTCCGCTTTGATTCTCTGGCATTGCGTAAAGGTATAGTGTTATGTTCTCAGGTAAAGTACATACCTATTGGTAAAAATAAAAATCTAGACAAGTTAAGATACAGAAAATAAAATATGTTTTTGGAGACCAAGTACCTATAAGTAAATTTTTTCAAATTTGAAAAAAAACAAAAAGTGTGTTTGTGGCACATTATGATTTTTTGAAACGCAAGAAATCTTGAAATCCTGTGTTGTAATTGAACGAACAATGCCCGGTAGATCAAGCGTAATTCCTTATTTAGGTCGGGCCGGAGGTAAAAAAGCAATTAGCTGAAATGTCTCCGTCTAAATTCGTTCGCTGGCGACCAACCGTTCAGCCGTGCTATGAAAAATGGCTGACGTGTTACACACCGAACAAATAAGTACCATTATGTACAGTCTACAGAAGGGTTCATAAATCGCGTGAAGAAAATGTTGTTAATATTATAACAGTGCTCATTTCACTTAACAAGATTAAACCTGTTTTCATTTCATAATTTATACATTTCGAAAAAACAAATATTTAATAA